TCCCTTTCATGATATGTAATACCTTAAGGGGACTGTGATAAAGATTCAAGGACATAATACATTTAAAGCACACTGCACAATACCTGCTAAATCATAGTTAATTTTTGCTCTTTTTACTGCGATTTTTCATACCAATATTATGTCAGGGGTTCAGTATAAGAATTAATCGTATCTTTTGCCTCTAAATTGGGTTCCAAAATTTGAAAAACTAGATATAGGCATCAAACTAAGAGATAAAATGTAGGTTTATTGAACAGATTGGCTATTCTGCCTACTTTGGTCAAATCTAGCAACTAGTTCCCAAAACTCAGAGAAACCTGTATAATCTGCACATCATAATTTCGTTCTTGTCTCCTTCAGGACAAAAAGGGTATAAGCAAGGCCCTATTTGAAAAAATAATACTATCATCTATGTAGCTCATTAAAAATATTGTTTTGAGGTCTGGAAGTTCAAAACTGCCACATGTCCAGTCACAGTGGCACAGTAGGAACACGATGCTCTGTGAGACCGAAGCCACCAAAGCCCCCTGGGAAGGTCCCAGGTTCACGTTTCAAGGTAACCCTGTACAGACTAGGCTCACCACAATCCTGGCGGACTGAGGCAAGGGAAAGATCACAGAGTAAAGACACTGTTGGAAGTGCCTTTCTCTCTTTTTCTCATGAAAGAAATATATGAATAAACTTTAAAAGGGAGAAAGAAAGAAGGAAAGAAAGAACTGCTGCAATTCTAGATTGAGTGGTTCACTCATGTTTTCATTTTTACTTCAAAAGTGAAATGCCCTCATTACTAATTATCCTTCTAATTGTGAGTTAACAGAGGGGAAAGTTGGCCTGTGGGGATTACTTGAGAAGCTATTTTACAACAGACTGTGTAGGTTGTTCAAATATGAATGAAACTGCCCCGACGTGTGTAGTAATATAAATAATATCTACCAAACTAGTCATTCATCAAAATTAAATTGATAAAAGACCCCATGAGACTTGGGTATTGTAGTCTCCACTCCTGAAATTACAGTTTTTCTAATAGCTCACAGAGCTTCCAGGCCAGCATCATCCTCCTTACCTGAGCTCTCCTTACTTCAGCCTCCAAAATGAACCTTCATTGTTTAAACTCAAGCTACCAGCCAAGAAAATAGCAATGAGGCTCCATGTTTTTAAAAGATCAAAAGAAAAAAGTAAAGAAAACAGAAGAGGCATTTTATTTGTTTCACACAAAGATGAAAACTGGTTGTGCCCAATGGCTCCATCCACCACTACGTGCCTGTGACTCTGATTGGCTCGGCTACACCTATTTGTTCATTTGCTTAATGGTCCTTTAAGAGGTCTTTTCAACTACATAGTCACACAAGACAAAAGAGGACAAGCAATCTATTCCCCCAAAGATTGCATTTTTAAAAGACATTTTGCATACTCCATTTCACAAAGAAACAATGATTGTAAGAGCTCTGGGATATTAATTTTTCACAAGCAAAATATTCATCTTTAATGCACATGGCCACAGGTTTAAAAATAATGTTAAGCTTGTGTATGTTGGCCAGAGTAATGCTATTCGAGACTTCCTCCTAGTTTCCTATTGCAAAAGACTCTTATCCCACTGTGTTTTGTGTTTTCCTTTGCATTTCAAAGCCCTGAAATCAAATGCAATTGAGGTTGCATTTTGGATTTTAGGGGCCATGTGTGTGAATTTACATGCATTTATGTACCTAATAAATGGTGGCACCATTTTTCCAAAGTAAATCAGCAACAGCGTGCAAATTACTTGATTGACCTTTTATTTTAGGCCAGAAGTTGGTAAAGACCATCATAATGCCTCAGAAAAAGATCAGGCCACCTGAGTGACCTCAATAGATATGGCTGTCCCATCCCTCCAAGAGCCTCTATTGCAGTTAACAATTAAAATAGCTGGGTTAAACAGCATCCAGTTCTAGTGAAGGTACATGCAGCTTGCCTCTTATTTGGGAGAGAAAACCCAAATGAGTCTGAGTCTTAGGATGATGCATCCTTGGAAAGGTTCACTTCATAACTGACCTTTCTTGAGTAGAAAAGTGAAATATCTTGGACTGAACACAGTAAGGCAGCAGCCTTAGCAAAATAGCATTCATGTATATGAACACACAGAGAATGAAGAGGCCACGTAGAACAGAATGCTGAGACACAAAAAAGTCACAGCCATAGAAATGGAGCAGG